CCTGGAGGTGGTTTAGAGCCATTTAGGCGAGTTTTACTTTCTGGTGGTTTGCTTCCCCTAAAGAGAAACGAAAGGCGGGCGACCCACTGGCCCGACAGCCCGCACTCAAAGCTCCGTAAATTCCACAAAAATTGTCTAATCTCGTCAAAATTGCCTCATGGCAACCGTCGATAACTCTTCTCCCATTCGCTTTCTCCCAAGGTTTCAAAGTTTATCTTAACTGCCCGAGAATCGCTGGTTTTCCAGCTCTTGCTTTCCATTTCTGCTCCCTTTCGATCCGTAACCGATTATCTTGGCCACAGGATTTGAATTTCTAGCTTAACGACCTTGCCATCATGACAAAATCGCCTCCAACCGTCGAGAGGCATGAGGCATTTGTCAGTTACTCGTTGCCATCTCTTGCCGCAGTTAACAGTGCTTTTAGGCGCTAATTTCAGTTATACACTGCGGCACGGTGCAGTTTGCATGATCAAAAAATGCCCCGTGCCTCTCGACGGCTGGAGGCAACTTTGTCACGATGGCGAGGTCGTTAAGCTAGAAATTCAAATCCTGTGGCCAAGATAATCGGTTACGGATCGAAATGGAGAGAGTGGTAGAGCTCAGCATTGATTCACAATGTTGGAAATTTGGATCAAAAATGGCCATTTCATCTCACAGCATTCCAATCAATGCTGAAATTGATGGTCAATGTTGAAAATCTGGTTTGTTGCCTACAGTATAATGTGCTTAAGTATTGCATATCAACTTCTTTGCAGATAATGCTACAGTATCAATAGATGTGACTTATTGAAGTCATGTGCAGCTCGCAAGAAATCCTTTGTTTTTAAATGTTATGAAACAGCTTTATTCTCTTCTTCCTGAAGGTCACAGTAGAAACTACTGAACACCCTTTGTATCCATCTGATGATCTTTATGGCATTGTAGGGGACAACTTAAAGAAGTCTTTTGATGTCAAAGAAGTAAGGAAATATATATGTCAGCATCACTTAGTTGCTGAGTAGATCAGTGAAAATCTCTTGTCAGAAACTGACAAATGTTTGGTGGCCATATTATTGTTAGAAATAATTAGCAGTTGTCCAGGGAACCTGATGATTATTGTTTTCATTTTGCTGAATAGAGAATGATGAAGACAATCACATCTTTTTCAGGTGATTGCAAGGATTGTTGATGGAAGTAAATTTGATGAGTTCAAAGCAATGTATGGAGATAGTTTAGTAACAGGTAAGACTGAAGATAAGGCCTTATATGTCCCTTGGTGCAATGAGGACAGATGATGATGATGATGAAGACTAAAATGCAGTGTTATGCAACAGAACATACAGTGCAAACAAGTTATGCAAATTTTGTTATCTGTTCCTGTAACAGCTCATCAGATCTTTGCTCAAAACCTAACTCCAAACAGCTTTTCATACCAAGTTGTTAATCATTGCACGATACCAAGGGCAAAATATTGCCAGTTTTCATGTGACAGTCAAATTCCAAAATTAAAAATTACCTTTCATTCTGAGGTTTTAGTTTCATCAGATAACAGACCCTATAGGAACTTGACATTTTACGGGTCAGTACAAAACGAAGACCCCTTGATCTAGACCCCCTACTGAACCCCCTTTTGGACCGCTTCTGGTTCCCATCTGGACCCTCTCTTGGACCCCCATCTGACCCCCTATTTTTTCTTCCAGAAAATATGAGCTTCTGATTCAAATAATTAAACTTAGAACATAACACAATGAAGTCTTGTATACTGTGATCGTCCGGGTGAGTGTAGTTCTGAAAAGAACTGTTGTCGGTGACTGATGTTTCGACAACCTGAGCGGAAGTCATCTTCAGAGTCAAGTGAATAGTGTTTGTCAGTCGATGATGTTATAAGTCTAGTCCATTGAACGTGATTGGTCTGTATAGCCATGCTGATATTGGCTGAAAGACTTGTGTAAAGTTTATCATCAGTCATTAGTGGGTTTCGATCCATCTATTGTTAGTCAAATAGGTCGGTTTTTGGTCTGTGTATTGTTAAGTCGGTCTGTTAGAAGTCTGTTTGTCAGTTTCGTTTCTGTCATGGATAAGTCGTTTGTAAGGCGCCGGTNGGTATGGCAGGGATTCAAGCGTCCCTATATTTCCTATATTTCCTATATTTTCTCAGTCCTCCTATATTTCCCTATATAGTTTACAAATGCCCTAAAATCCCTATAATTCTATTTTTTTTAAAATTTAAAATTATTTAGAATAAACCAAAAAAATGTTGCTAAGGCTGTGATCAACTTTGTGCTGATGGACGTAACAGGGACAGTAATTTCCTGGGTCAAGTAAATAACAAACTGGTAAGTACAATTAGTGTAACTGCTGAATAATGGATCATCATTTGTCATTTGTTCACTTAGTTGTTTCAAAATTACAGACATCAATTTTTGACAAACTTTATTGGCACTGTAAGCACTTTTGGATTGTCATCACTATTCAGAGTTCAAAGTCTTGTCCCAATGAAGAATAACTGAGGGACCAGTTCATGTTGGTGCTCTTTGTACTTTTGTGTGCACAATAGTAGCACTTTGAAATAGGAAAAATCTACAAATAAGTTTATTTCATACATGTCACCCACCTTGAAAAATGTTATCTTACCAATGCCTAATTTTAATTGAACCAGTCTACCTCTTATTATTAGTGCTTTGCAGCATTGCATAAAAAAAGTGTGACATAATATTATATGTGTTTTCCTGTTTGCAGGTAAAATATTTATGCAGTATAGAAGTGTAACATCAGAGCATAATGCCACATGGTTCAGCTAAGTTTCAAGCTAGCTGGCTGGATCAGACAGATGTAGATGGTCACAGAATAGGTGACTGGTGTACTTCGTGCAAGACTTCGGAACACAAGGCCTTCTGTACCTTATGCATTAAAGATTTCTCGATTGATAATCCTGGATTGACCCAAATACAGCAACATGGCAAAGGTGAAAAGCACAGGAAATTGTCTGCTGCCAAGTTTTCTCAAGCTCAAAGACATTTTGTTCTTTCCGCAACCAGTAGTGAGAATAAAGGAAAAGACCAGGGACCTCTCAGTATACCCATTCAAGATTTGTCACAGCAAGAGAAGGTAGCTAGAGCTGAAGCTCTGTGGGCTATGAAAACTGCTGCAAGCGACTATTCATTTGCATCATCAGATGGTATACCACAGTTGTTCCAAAAGATGTTCCCAGGAGATGTGTCTAATAACTTTACAATGAGCAGAACAAAAGTGTCTTACATGATATCAGATGGATTAGGCCCATACTTAAGACAAAAACTGTGCCAAGATATTTCACAATCAGGTTTTGGATACACCATTCAGTATGATGAAACAGGGAATGCCCAAGGCCGCAAGCAGTGTGACATACTAGTGCGCTATTGGTCAGAAGAAAAAAACGAGGTCAGTGTTAGGTTCTTGCAGACACTATTCTTTGGGCATGCCAAAGGACATGATGTTGCAACAAAAATTGTGGAGATCCTTCAGGAAACAGGCTGCCAGTTGCCTCTCTCAGGCTTAATAAGTTTGTCATCAGATGGACCAAATGTCAACATGACAATTTGGAGTACAGTTGATAAGGCACTGTTAGATGAAGGACTCCCTGGTCTTTTGCCATTTATCCCTTGCAACATTCATGTTGTGCACAATGCTTTCCATGCAGGTGTTAATGTTTACGGAGATGCCTCTGAGGAACTGGCAATAGATCTTTTCTATTGGTTAAAGAGCTCACCCTCTCAAATAGAAGATTACATCCATGTATTAAGTGATCTTGGACCTGATGAAGAGTTATTTATCCGGCATGTACAATGTAGGTGGCTCACACTTATTCCTGCATTAGACAGAATTGTCAAGAAATGGGAAGCGATCAAGAAATACTTCTTGGAAGAATTGCCCAAGCAACAGAAGCCTTCAAAGACCTTGGAGAAGAATGACCGGTACAATCGTATATGTAGAAAACTACGGGACAAGTCCTTCCCAGTGCAGTTGGCTTTTCTTGTGTCTGTGGAGCCAATCTTGAAGAAGTTTCTATGCTTCTTCCAGAGTGAAGGGCCACTGATTCACCTACTGCATCATACAATGTGTGAACTACTGAAGTCCCTAATGGGTCGCTTTCTCGAGACCCAAGTCCTGGCAGACAAAGAGGGGAAGCACCTGCTGGCAATAGACTATTCCAAGTCAGATAACCAACTTTCCATGTCACAGATGGAAGGAGGAGAGAAAACTCAATCAGCTCTGTCCAAGCTGTCTGATGACCAACAGAAGAAAGCTCTTCTAGGAATGAAACAGTTCTATGTGGACACCACAAAGTATCTGATTGGCCATCTACCATTAGACAACAAGCTTTTGAGAGATGTCTCGTTCCTGCATCCAGTTCTTAGGAATAGCAAGCATGGAGCACAAGCTATATGTAGACTGGCAGTTATGATGCCAACACTATCAGAAGAAGTTGCTCTGGTTACAGATGAGTGGAAAGTGTACCAGTCTGGGCAAGTCGACGAGGAGAGCGCCACAAGAAGAGTTGACCATTACTGGGCAGATGTGTTCCAGGAGAAATCTCTGCAGGGAGAGTGCAAGTATTCCGTTCTTCAGAAGCTTGTGAAAGGCCTTCTCTGTTTAGCTCATGGCAATGCGGATGTAGAACGAAGTCTTTCTGCAAACAAGAAGACAGTTACTCCTGACAGAACTTCTCTTGGTGAGTTGACAATAAATGGCTTATGTACTGTCAAAGATCATGTCAAGGTGTCTGGAGAGCCACAAAATGTTAAGATCACAAAAGGGTTGCTTGAAGCATCGAGAGATGCACACAAGGCACATGCAAAAAGGCTTGCTGACGAGAGGGAAGAGCTGGCAAAAAACGGAGAATGGAAGAATCAAAGAAAGAGATGCAGAGGGAAATTGAGAAACAGAAAGAAAAAGAAGTAGAGAAGTTGGAAAAAGGAAGACTAAATTTGTCTGACAGAGAGAAAGAATTGACGAAGGCTGTAAAACAGAAAGACAGTGAGCTACACATTGCTAAAACACTCTATGAAGAAGCAAATGAACGACTTTCATGGGCAATTAAGGACAAAAACGTCAACGAGGCTGCAATAGCTCAAGGGCTACTTGAAGTTGCGAAGCAAAAGTTGGAACATGCAGTGGAGCAAACCAAAGAGTGATCAAACAAGGGAGTTGAGCTTGACAAAAACAAAAAGAGACTCCTTGAAGACTACTCCAAGCATCCATCTACCAAAAAGAGAAAAGACTAAATGTGGAGGACATTTGTATGATGTACATTAATTTTAAAGAGTAGTAATGTTGTACCCATGAATACTTCGAGAGCATGGTGGTAATGCATGAGTTCAGTAGCATTGTTGAAATTATAAGAAATGATTGATGTGATCAAGATTGTTGCTTGGATGAATTTAAGACTGAATGTGTTAAGAATATAAAGTTTGAGGTTATTTCCAACAGCGTGCTTTCTGGTGTTGGAACAGAGGAGCCTACTGCATTCTGAATAACACTATCCTTTAGTGTATCAGCTGTTTAATATTCTGTTTTGTTGAGTGTAGAAAATGCAGACAGATAAGGCAATAAAAAGGATCTTTTTGCTTTATATGTGTTGAAAATACTTTTTAAAAATCCCTATATTCCCCCTATATTTTTTAAAATTCCCCTATATTATCCCTGTATTCTTGTAAAAAAACCCTATATTAAGCCCTATATTTTTGAAGGAGGCAACATGAAGCCCTGCCCATTGTGTATCACTGTTAAGGAATTAGACTCGACTGGTGGAATCTCTTTGATTTGTTGTTGATGCACTTCAACATGGAAGTTGAGTCAGTCCAGTAATAAATATGGGCCAATTCTTCTTGAATAATCTTGGAGAGCCTTACAGAGATAACACTTGCTGTCAGTTCCAATCTTGGAATTGAAATTTCACGCCTGGGAGCTAATCTTGCTTTCCCCATGACAAATGTACGGTGAACTTGGTTGGTCACATCTTTCAAATGGAGGTAAACAATGGCTGCATATCCTTGACAAGAAGCATCTGAGAATAGGTGCAATTGTACTTCTTTAACTTCACCAAATCTCTTAGGCTTGAAACAGTGGTCTACTTGCTTTTCTTGCAACTTTGGGAGATCGTTTAGCCAGTGCTTCTCATTGCTCTTTGTCAGCTTCCTGTAATGGGTCATCCCAGCCCAATCTCTTTCTACTGATCATGAGTATAAGCAACAGCAACTTAGCCTTCAGGACATATGGTGCGATGAGTCCCAAAGGATCAAAGATGGAATAAGCACCTGACACAATCCCTCTTCATGTCATGGGTCTCTGGTTCACTAGCTGCAATATCTTCTCCAAGACCTCCCACACAAATTTGTCTTCTTCTGTATTCCACTTGGGGCCAAGAGCACTCTCTGTAGGAAGTCATTTGAGCTCTAAATTACCGGTAACCACAGATTTGGCTCTTTCAGACTCTGGGATCATAGCAGCACTCCTCTGTCATTACCTTACCACTTCAACGAGCAGAACCACCTTTCTGTAAGAACCTGTGCAGTCAACTTGCTAAAATGGCTGCTTTCTCTGTAGAACTTGTTGATTTCATCAAGTCATCTACATACATGTTGCGCTTCACTGTCTCTACTACTTCTGCATCAAACTCCTCCTGATGCAACTGGGCTGTCTTCCTTAGAGAGAAATAAGTAACACTAGGTGAAGATGTAACACCAAATACCGGTAGATGTTTCATAATGCGATACTCTTCCATTTCCATTGTCAGGTCCTCATTCGGCCACCATAAAAATCTTAAAGTGTCACAATCTTTTGGGTCCACCAGGACCTGGTGAAACATTCCGTCTATGTCAGCAACCATTCCAACAGCTTCTTGTCTAAATCGACTAAAGACACCCACTTGCTGATTTGTCTGATCCAGGACCTGCATCGGAAACAGGTCATTTCGCCCCAGGTCGTTTCGCCCCAGCTTAAAGTCATTTTGCCCCAACTTTAAAGTCGTTTCGTTTAGTAATTTGAAATGTATTTACAAATTACTAGGGGAATAAAATGAGTTGGGGCCAAATGACTTTGAGTTGGGGCGAAACGACTGTAACTCCCTGCAGCAGCTGCTGATTTAGCTATGTGCAAACTCTGCTGCACAATCATAAACCACCCTCACCTTATCAGGCTTCAAAGGATGCATTACTGGATTGTGAGGGAGGTACCACACTGGTTTATCTCTTGTATTCAACGCTTCTTCATGAACCCTTTCCGCATGTCCCTTTTTAGTGTAGTCGTTCGTTGTTGTCTGATACTTCTCCAACAATTCATCATCCTTTATGAGACATCTCTTCAATAACAGGGCTCTTCGCTCTGCCATGCCTTGTTGTTGGGTAAGTACGATAAGTTTTGTCGCCAGGGCAAGGCAACTTCAAAGTGTCCATCGACTTGCTGCAGAGTCCCTTCCATAATTTCTAGGGCTCTCTTATCTTCAACTGATGCACAAACTTTGGTCTCTACTTCTGAGTTTTAAAAGTCTGTTTTCCGTAGTCTTTCTAACTGCCGGCATAATTCTTCATCTCGAATTTCCCATTCAGTTTTGCTGTCCAATAACATAGTGGTGTCCTTCTGATTTGTCAATTTATCAGTGGATTCTTCTGTAGGACCTCAGCCACTAACATCATCATCATCTGATTGCTCATTAAATCTTGAACCTTTAATAATCAGACTAGTACACACATTTTCTTCTTCCAAGTCAGGAACATTGTTGTGAGCAATACAGTTCTCTGTGGTATGTGTGAAATTTGCTGAACAATTTGGGCCATCCTTTTGGCCACCAACAGGACCTATTGCAGTCCATCCTAAACTATATCTGACGGCGACTGGTTCATCTTCCTCTCCTGCCTTGTACTCTAGCAGAAGGAACAAATTTGGCTTTTCCTTGAGACCAACCACCAACATAACTTCTCCAACGTCTAATTCCTGCAATTCAATATTGCACAAATGACTCCACTTCTTGAGGTCTCCCTTCTTGGGGATACAGTCACTTGAGATTGGCATTTGTTTCACTGTTCTCACATTTTACAGTTCCACTGACATGGTTTCATCCATCGATATCACCACAATGTCCAGCAATTGACTCTCTACAGTAGTTGATCCTGAGTGCCGTAATTTAAGTTATCCCAGCAGTTAAATAAATAAACACAGCTTGTTGGTGTTGTTTTTCTTACCAACGATCCATTTCTTTTGGGAACAACTCTGCTTTACATCGACATTGATAGTCATTGAAATTTACACCTTCCTTTCCCTTGACAGCATTAACTCAAATGCACTCAACACCCTGTGATTACTTCTAGTAATAATATAAGAAAAATCTGCATTCCAAGCATCCCTAAAGGGTAACAGGAAACAATCGAGTGACAGATGTTTGCACCCATACCGGTACTTCTGAATGCCAATAAATTTGGCATTCAGAAAAAAAGAAGTAGGGACCAAGTAGGAACCCGTCGAACAGGGCTTTACTTTGTTGATCTGACAAGATGCAGTGCTGTCCTTGTGGTAGAGTGATTCTATGCTGAGCACAGTATTTTATTTTAAGATCTCTAAAAATATAACAAAGAAAGAAAAAATACAATTATGAAGGTCGCACCTGGAATTGAGACCCCAGAACCTACATGTATGATTGTAAATAACTGAAGATTGAAGAAGTTGTCACAGAGTAAATACAAGTGAGGAAAATAACCGATATTAGCAGGGAAAATAAAGAACAACAAATCAAAAAGAAAATGAGAACCAGCGATACCAGGAATTTATGACTTGCTTTGGTGATAAGAAGTAGTACTTTGTTTGTCATAACATCTCAGACAAGGATCACCAATAACTTCATGGATGTTTTCAACAGTATCGCATCTCCTCAGTCCATTCTCTTACCATTGAGAGAAAAAAGCTGCTGAGGAGAAGCTGAACACTTTCCCACTGCCAAACACACTAAGTGTAGTCTGAAAACAGCATTTAATGTTTCTTGAACTGAGCTAGGGGTAATTCTAAACTATACGCATCCACAGTAGCACTCTTTGCAGTAAAAAGGAACAAGTGACATTACCCAAAGAACAACAGATATCCCCGGTCAAAATGAGTGTGATATCACAAGACACATAAAAAGCATGTTGTGTGACGAGAATGGAGTGTATCATGCTAGCAATGCTAGAGCGCATGCGTAATACGTGTTTTGTTCTACCACAAGGAAAAGCACCCGATGTTAGCGTGTGATCCCATGTGAAATGTGTCTTCCACTTAGTATATAGTAAACACTAATGATAACTAGTATGGGAATAGTGAGAGAATAGTACCACAAGGAAAGTAAGAAGTTTTCCGAAACAAATTTATTATAGCTTTGTGATGTTATCAAAAACGTAACTCAGACAAACATGTTTTACATAGAGTGAACAGTTACCTACCTTACCCTGCCCAATTCCCTTGCTGCAATGCTAAACTAATTAATTGAAATCAACTAAATAAATGATTCACACATTCATTGAAGTTCCAAAAAGAAGAAAGCAAGCAAAACTTTCATGGCTTTTAAACATGCATACATGTAACTTCAAGAAGTATTTATTTCACACTTAATGATACTACCATCACTGTTTGGCATGAAATTACATAGACTACATTAGGTGAAAAGGATTACATCATAAGAAGTTCCACTAAAATTGTACAACACTGAATCAAGAATATCTCTAGAAATATTGGAGCAGTGTTCTTCAAACTTGGCACAAGAAATGTACATCACAAAAGAAACAAAATGACACCCATTGTGCCATTGTCATGACAACAGTTTTGCCGCTGGTCCTATTTCAATTAAGACTGGAATTCTCATTTTTGCCTTAAACAAGGATCATCTGCTCCCAACAATCTAGAGAGGAGAGTGAAGACAATATGGGCACCATGTGTGTCCCGAACAGGACCCTCTGTCCAATTTTAAAGGGTTGCAAATAGGGATATTTGTCTTTGACAGAAAGAGAATGGAGCCAAGAGTGGGAGTGGAGCCACAACGGGTGCCATTTTGTTCCTCTGTACATTTCTGATGACAAGTTTGAAGAACATTGCTCCAATATTTCTAGAGATATTCTTGATTCAGTGTTGTACAATTTTAGTGGAACTTCTTATGACGTAATCCTTTTCACATAATGTAGTCTATGTAATTTCATGCCAAACAGTGATGGTAGTATCATTAAGTGTGAAGCTTTTACTGTGAGCATGCCCAAATAGATTGAAATTTATTGACTCTCATTGTCAAGAAGCTAGATTTCTCTTGAGATGTAAAGATTAGCTTATCGTGCCAAAATATCTATGCTTTTGTTGCTGACATGGCCAGTTTTTTTCTATAGGTTTTGCTCGAATTCATGGCTATCCAGTTGGAATCATTGGCAACAATGGAGTGCTCTTTTCTGAATCTGCGCTTAAGGGAACACACTTTATACAGCTCTGCTGTCAACGTAAAATTCCACTACTATTTCTGCAAAATATCACAGGTAAGTATACAAACCAAAAGAGGTTTGACTGTGTATGTGCTTTCAAATGTTGTAAATGGCAATTATTCCCGGGTTTATTGATTATTTCATGATGTCAATTGTTCGCTATTGCTAGACTTTATTTCAAAATCAAGGTGACAAAACATTATGCAAGACAACTGTCACGGGTTGGGGTGGTTCATCCTCACTCTCTGTTATTTTGCCAGGTTCTGTTTTTCTGACTTATGCATTATGCATGCATAAGCCTGATAAGCTATCGAAATTTTGTCAGTTTGAGGACGTGATGTCATGTGACAGAGCTTTGGAAGCATGAATAGTGTGACGGGTAGACTAGGTACTAGTAATTTCAAGCAATTGTTTTCGAGCAAAGGCGGCCAATGCTACATTTGTAGAGCGTAATCGTTGCCAGTTCTTGCTACATTGCGTTGTCATTGTACTTCTTTGCTCAGCTTTTTGTCGGGATTTGGTTGCAGTTTTCAAGGTAAGTTATTTTCCTTTTTTTCAATCGTTCTGTTGTGCTGTTTTGTCATTAGTTTTTTTCCTTTCAACGGATATTAACTGCACTGTAAACAAGCTTATGAGATGCCTTGTTTATTCTTTGGTATTTCATTCAGGTGTTGCTGAGCGAGTTGTTTTGCTCATGCAAACTCAGCTTTCAAACTATCAGCCTTGTGGTTACTCACATGGAAATGTATCTGTCACGCCATTAAGAAATTGGGCTGTGCATTCCTGTGTAAGCTTGTTTCTTTCAATACTCTTTTCTTGGCTGTCCTTTCAAGTAAGTCGTAATGTTCTTTAGGTCTCAGGGAGGTGTGTACAGTACCGCAAATGATCCCCAGACCAGAAATGATCCTCAACTTGGACTGCAAATGATCCCCAACCGCAAATGATCCCCGACATGGAAGGCAAATGATCCCACTGGAAAACGAGGAATGGTATGGAGTTTGTTCCTCGGGTCGAGATTTCAATTTTTAACCTAAACAGAAACAAGTCATGACTGACCATATTCTCGATGTAGATATAATTTTCATGATAAATATTTCTTCTGATAGATTAGCGTAAAAGCTCTGAGGAATGCCTTGTAATCAGAGGACCCTGGGAATGAGGTTGCCTTGTTATCGGCTTTGCTTATACCACAACATTTCATAACAATTTAATCAACGCAAAAATTGCAAACGGATAAATAACATCAGATAATTAGTGTTTAATTTTCTCGCCTGCCTGGGTGCTAGAGACTTTCTAGTACCGTTTCCGGTTTTGGTGAATCACATGAAATCAAAATCCTCTGATACCCAGGATACTCTTGTGACTGATTTTGAAAGTCCGGGGGAAGAAATTCTGAAGGATATCAGGTTGTAGTATAGTGGAGTAACCTATGTATCAGTTTAAGGTTGTTCATGATGCAAGACATCTTTGGTCTGGAAATCCTACACGAAAACTGCTTATGGCTGCCATTCTATTTTTAGTCTGTAATGATATCCTGTCTCTCAGTTTTTCTGCATATGTCTCCCACGGGTAATGAAGGTAAGTCTTAGATTGCTTAACTATGTAAGTTGACCAATTAGTGATCCTGTCAAGATTTAGGACACATTTACATCATCAGCATGGAATTTCTGGCTGTAAATTGAAGATGCGAAAGCCAAACCGGCTTGGAGTGTTGAGATGCAGACTTTCTAGCTCACAGAATATCATTTATATGACTAAAAGGTCATTAATATGTCACAATCGCTCTCACTGGTGACGTGGTATTAACACAAATGTATAAAAGTTGTTTATGTCTTCGTTATGGTAGCATTAAGCTATGTGTAGATCAAGCCAAGAGAGATGGTGTCACTGTTTACGAGCTTTTGTTTTTTCCGTGATTTTTCAGAAGAATTGTCAAGAGAAAATGAGACTGAATTATTTATCATGAGAATTATTTATTTTTGTCAATATCTTTTCTTTACATTTATTCTAAGTTATTTGTTTGGATGATGAAGAAAAAACAACATGGAACCAAACTCCATGCCATTCCTCATTTTTTGGTTGGATCATTTGCAGTTTGGGATCATTTGCGGTCCAATTTGGGGATCATTTCTGGTCTGGTTATCATTTGCAGTCGGAGATCATTTGCGGTGCTGTACAGGTGTGTGCATCTACTGATGCATATATCAAACAGCAAATTAAATTGTTATTCTGTTGTCAATAGTCTTCTTGTCTTCGATGCTGTTTTGGTGAATTAATAGAAAACTTGAACTGAGCATGCACAGTCAGTGTTCTCAGTAGACATTGAGCGACATGACCATGTCTTGTTGTCGCAAAATAAATATACCGAGTTACTTACCTCGCTGGCCATTGTCCCACAAAATAAATGTACTGAGTTGTTTAGCAAATTAGCTCGGCTGCCACATATGCACTAAATGAATTTGCCATGTTATTTAAGTGGAGTGAGTTCTAAGGCAGGAAAAGGAACTGAATGATAATGGTTGAAATACTAAGTTTGGCATATTAAGATGTCCATTACACATAAGTATGCAACGGCAGAGCATCAACGGTCTCTTTGGTTGTATGTGATTATTAACTACTTAATAACCGAGAGTGAGGTCGTTACGGGAAAATCTCAAACTGAGGCCTTGCCGTATTGACCGAGCGATAGCGAGGTCAATACAGT